TTTCATGCACAAGAAAGCCACTCAATTATGTCCCCTCCTAATGTAGTTGTCTTTTGTACATTAAACTTATCTTAAATTAATTGCTTATTTTTTTTAAATAAATGTTTTTTTTTATTTTAACTGTATCATTATCTATTTACTTTAATTAATCATTTAATCACAAAAAATCTGTCATTAATCTTTTATTTTTTTTTAAGACTATTAGAGATAAATACAATTATTATTCTTAAATTTTTAATTTAAAAAAATAAAAAAATAATAATTATTTTAAGATAAAGAGACTATTAGAGATAAATACAATTATTATTCTTAAATTTTTAATTTAAAAAAATAAAAAAATAATAATTATTTTAAGATAAAGAAAGTAAAATATAATTCTCAAAAACTCAAGTATTTTGAAAGCTTCTCTGGTGTTTTTGTCCCATGCTTCCTGTGATAAGTCTTCCCATACCTTACCCTTGATCCAATGTAGGGCTCTAAATTTGATTAAGTCCAGCACCTGTTCATGGGTCTCCTCCTCGTTCCTTAAAATGCGATTGTTGCGCCATAGCAATATATAGACCAAATTGTAGAAAACCATTCTACAGTCCATGCATGCGTCTTTTGTAGTCCCATTTGAGATCATGCCATGGTGCTGGCATGGATGACTCCGGCAATTTCCATGTGCTGCAACTTGCAACCTTCATCATTCCCCACCAGTCATAGCGGGGAGACCAAATTTTCCATGATTCTTCACATATATTCAATAAGTGGTCAGCATTGTCGTCGTGTTTTTCACGTAAAATGCTTAGGGAATCTGATTCTACCTGTAATAACCCTCTTTTCAGTACGTTTGTTTTTTTTTTTTGTTGGTAGTTGATTCTGGACAGCTTTCCACGCAAATGCTGAAAACTTCCGAGGCATCTTTTTGTCCCAGACTAATCTGTAGTTGACATTTGGTGTTTGCTGGTTGTAATAAATATTTTGCATAAATAAAGATATAATCTTTTAAAATTTTTTAAATTAAGATATAATATTTTTTTTTACTAATAAAGATTATTACTTTTTAAAAGTTTATAACGAATGATACAACTTTTTTAGAGACCAAACTTGACCAAAATTTTACTCTTTTTATTTTAAAATAATGGTCATATTTTTTTTAATTTTTTTTAAATTAAGAATTCGAGAACAATACTTTTTTATTTATAGTACCCTTTAAAAAA